GTGGTGGGGGTTAGGGGGTGAGGGGCGGGGGGGGGGTGATTAATGAGGTTCTGCTTTCGTACAAGCCGCTATAGCGAGATGAATTAATTCCCCCCTAAAGTGGGTGGACATCTATGGTGACGTCGCTATAGCGGGGTTAGTCGAGGTTTTGTGTAGAAAAATCCCAAAAACCTCTTATTTTCTACAATGTCATTCTTGTAACTGGGAAGGGCGATTTAGGGCAGTATCCTTCAGTTATTCCACCAAACTCTTCGGTAAAGGTAAGTTAATTACTTCTCCAACTTGCATTTTGATTCTTAATCCTTAGAATCTAGGGTTGTTAATCTTGGGAAAGGGTTTTTACCTAAATTAATGGTGGGAAGGACCCTCGTTGGGTAGTATGATCAGGGGAATGGCCTAGGGTTTAGGATTTTGGTTGTAATCCGGCTATTGATATGTCATTATTGATTGATTATTGTGTTTTTATTATTGTTTACACCAAGAACAAGCCAAAATTCATAAAAAGGGGAAAGCTCACGTTCTTTAGAGCATTTTGGCTTGTTTCGAGGTAGGTGATGGTTGTTATTTTCATGTTTATGTTATATGTAGTAGTAATGCATGCATGTATATGATTAGGGAAATTGGAAAGACAATGACGACAATGGAAGATATTGTCAATCACATGTAATGAATGGGTTACATAATTGTACATGTATTATTGTACTTCATTGTGATTGTTATTGTATTGTGTGTGATGACTCGGATAGGGTGACACGCCAATACATATTGTTGTTGGAACGGGTACTACACAGTACACTAACATCTGGAACGGGTACCACTTCTTATACAATGGTAACGGGTACCACGACAGTACTCTAACAGTTTGTATGTGTGAGTTTCATGAGAGAACTGGATTGTCTTGTTGTGTTGTGATGATTCATGATGTTTATGCATATCTATTCAGGGTAATGACAAAGAGTCTAGACTATGTTGTACTTATGTTTGTAGTTGTGTACTATATTCTTACTAAGGGGTGGTCGCTTACTCATATTTCATTTATTGGGACTAGTCGATGATCCTATCAATACATTGTGGTTGTGTACTAATGTTGCACTTATTCTTTCTTTGTTGAGTACATGACATATTTCAACTACTATTTCGAGACCTCGATTGTGAAATGCACGACACCTGAATCCAGGGCAAGCTACTTCTTCCGATTTGCCCTAAATTCTTCTCTATCTTGTTGTCCATCTTTTTAGACAAATATTTTAGACTTAGGCTTATGTCTCCTTGTTGGGGTTGCATCCCTTTATTTTAGACTTGTTAGATATTTTAGTACAACTATTTTCAGGTTCTAGGGAGTTTATTTCGCATTTGTTTTGAGGCATTATCAAGTTTATGGAAACTCGGTCCTTAAAGTGCTAAAAATGGTTTTTTTTTCACTTAGCTTCTGATGGAGAAAAGGAGATTAGAGAGAGAATGGTAAATGGGAATGGGTAATAGGGCATTGAGTTAATTGGGTTAATTGGTACTAGATTATCCTAGAGGGGTCGGGTCATTGGGTTAAAAATAGAGAATAGGTTTTTTTTTAAAATTCGGGTAATTGGATCAATTTGGGTCGATTTTGGGGATTCCATCTAATGAAGGGTAATTTTGGTGAAATTAATAACGGGAGGGATAAATTTAACTTCATTTTAACGGCGAGGGTAAAGTCAAACAATAAACCAAAGTTGAGGGGTATTTTTTACCCTTTTCCCTTAAAAAAATTGGGAAGGAGTGGATAGTTTGGAGAGGGGGGGGGGGGTTGAAGTAAGATTTTTTTATAAAAGATATTAAAAAAAATATTGGGGGGCAAGGAGGGGGTGAGTGGGATAAGAAAAAGAGTATAATTTAGATGTGTTTTTGATATTTCACTCAATGTTTATTGAACTTTGTTTCCTTCTTAAAAGACTCTATAATAAACAAAATGATTATTTACTACTCCCTCTGTCCCAATTTATATGACTCACTTTCCTTTTTAGTCAGTCCCAAAAAGAATGACACATTTCTATTTTAAGTAACAATTTGCCTATAAAATGTCTTTTTTACCCTTAATGAAATGATTTACAACCACACAAATTTCTATCATTCATTTTGGACCACAAGTTTTAAAAGTCTTTCCATTTTTCTTAAAGTTTGTGCCAAATCAAAGTACATCACATAAAATGGGACGGAGGGAGTATTTTTCTTAAATATTTATCATTTAATTATCATCCTAATATTTAGGACTATAAAATTAACTAAAGTTATAGTTATTAAATTTTTACTTATTTATAATATGTAAGAACTTATATTATTTAAAATACTACATTGACTAAAATTTCACTTCTTAAATCTTTCTTTATTTAAACTATATTAATATTAAGACTTTGAAATCACTATTTTAATATTATATAAATTTTATTTAAATTATGAAAAATAAAATTAATTAATAATAAAAATTAAAAATATATGAAAAAAAGTTCATTTTTTAAAAATTACTTTTTAATCTTTTTTAGTATGAAATTTTAGTCATTTAGATAAATATGACATTTGTTTTAACATCGATTGTTATTTTTTCAGGATTTTGTTCTTCTCATGGCGGCCTCCTAAAATTGGCACGATGTTTCATTTAGACACTTTAATTAGGTGATGTTCATTTTAGACACCTCATGTAGGTCTCGGTGTATCATTTTTTACATGACATAATGAATTTGATACCCTCATTGACCAGTGTGTGAAATGCTTCTTTGATCAATTTTTAATTATTTTTTTCTTCTTTTTCATTTTCAGCCACCATTTTGCCGAAGTTAAATTTCATCCATTGTGAATGAAGGCTTAAGCAAAATGATGAAAAATGTTTATAAAATTTAAGAATAAATCTATTTAAATATTAAAATATTCATGAATTTTTTTGGAAGAATTTAATATTTGCAAGGAAGTAAATTCAAGAAGACTGATAAAAAGTTATCTTGATAAAAGTGAATTTCTTCAAACTAGGCATGAAAATTTCTTTGAACTAGCAAAAATCTTTCATTAACTATCAAGCTACTTAATTGGCCAAAAAAGAAGGAAAAAAGTGGTTACGATATTATTATTATTTTGGTAAAATAAAAAATTTCACCAAGGTGCGCATATTTAGTGAAGATTTGGTGGGCATGTAGTGGTTTGGCGGGTGTGTGTGCGGGGGGGGGGGCTTGTGAAATTCTTTTATTGATTTAAATTTTATTTTGTTTTGTAATTATTTGGGCAAAAATATCAGGTGCCATTAATTTATTGGTTAGTTAAAAATATTTTTCACACAAATGACAAATGTGATCGTTTAATTTGTCACTTTACATGTCATTCTCAAGTGTAATACACATATTATTAATATTAAAAAAACGTCAAATTAATACAACGGGATTAGACATGAGGGGTTTAAAATGAACAAACTCATTGGTGCCAACTTTAGAGGGCCACCAATGAATTCCGCCTAATTTTATTAATTAATCATGAGACAGTTGTAATGCTCGTATACAAATTAGAGGCAAACCCAGTACTTTTTAGGAAAGTGGCCGTTGTAATGTTGGTAATTACTAATTAGACAGATAATTAGTTCTAATAGAAAATATTAACCAAATATAGAGATGAGTTAAGAAAACTAGCCGTTGGAGTCACCACTGTGAATAGGAAAATAGGTCATTTTCTGAAAACCATAACGTTCCAATCTTATCAGTTATCATCTTCTATAACCACTTTACATTTTTCCATTCTACAAAATTGAAACAAAGACATCTTCTTTTGGTTTTAAGAACCGAGTAAATTAGTGAAGAAATAGTTGAAGAAAGAGGGTTTTTTCCCCTGTTTTTATAGGTAAAAGAAATGGATGAATCTTCTTCTTCTTCAGCTTGTCTGGTACGATCCTTTTCTCAGCCTTCTCAAGAACGTACTGAGGTAATATCATCTTTTTTCTTAATTTTGAGCAAATGGGTCTCAGCAAATTGGATTATTTTATGCCCTTTTGCCTAAATTCAAAGTTTACTTCTTTCTTTTGTTACAATCTTCTCTTTTTTTCGTATTTGAGCTAATGGGTATTTGATGGTTTTCTACTGTTTCATAATTGAGATTATGGGTTTGTTTAAATGCAATTTTCTGCACATTTTCCTATAAGGGTTTATGAATTTGTTTACTGCTGAGTGGGGATTTTGAGGATATAAGCAGTAGGTTTTATTTTCCCTTCTGTGATTTTTGCATCTGCAATACAGACACTATCTATTTACTGGTCAAAATGGAATTAGGGGATTCATACTGTCAATTCCAACTTGTTTGGCATTGAGGTGTAGTTGTTGTTCTTGTCGTTGGTGGTGTTATCGTCAAGTCTTTATGTTCTCTTTGGTCCCTAGAATGTTTTGCTCCAGCAGAAGCATAGTTGCTGTTTGCTTTAGGATTGTGGTGTTTTTCATAGTTTATGAGTTATTTAAACTGACTTAGTCATGGAAGTAGATCTCAATTGTTGTTTTCCGTAAGCATGTTGGGGAATATGAATTTACGGATTGGAAAATGATTGAGCTATGGGGTAAGTTTCTCATTTAGAAGCTGAGCTGGAAACTTTCTCATTACAGGGAGACCCTTTATTGCGTGCATTATCAACATCAGTATCATTTGGAAGATTTATGTCTGAATCACTGGACTGGGAGAAGTGGTCCTCATTTACTCATAATCGGTATCTTGAGGAAGTTGGGAAGTATGCAAAGCCTGGGTCAGTTGCTGAGAAGAAAGCTTACTTCGAGGCTCAACACAAAAAAGCAGCTGCTAAAAAAGCTGCATTGTTGCTAGAGCAACAAAATGCAGCAGTTGATGAGTCATCTGATCTGAATGTGACTAATCAAAACAATGATCATTCCACAGTGATTACAGAGCCTAGCAGTTGTGTGGGTATTGAAGAAACACAAATAGAAGAGGGAGAGTTGAATGTGACAGCTCAAATTATTGATATAGAATCAGAGCTCACTGAGAATGGCAGCTATGAGGGCACTGAGGAAGCACTGGGAGATCAGGATCATTTGAATGTGACAAATCCAAGTGTTGATAATTGCACAATGCTCTTTCAGTTGCCAGAGAATAGCAGCCATATGGGTATTGAAGAAGTGCAGGGAAATGAGGGGGATAATACAACAACATGTGGCAGCTACCCTATTCATGAAGAAATTAACTTGGAAACTACTGGAATTGAAAACTCTATCGAACAATCTTATCCAGTAGAGAATGAACTCAAGTCACTGAATCAGCCGGAAAATGTTGTTGTTGAGGTAAGTGAGAATGTAGCGCAACTGAAGGAGAAGAAACAAACAAAGGTTTGTACCATTACCTGATTTATTATTCTCTCTTTGTTGCTAAAGTGAGATTCTTGCTTTTTTCTAATTGAACATGCTTCAATTATGCAGAATGCCGCTATGGTGGGAGACACCGTGCTGTCAATGAAGAAGAAACCAAAGAAACCATTAACCTTAAAGACTAGATTGACAACTAAGAATGAATCATCAAAGTTCAAATCTCAAGTCAAACCGGTGACAGCTCTGCAACCTATAGTGACTGATAAATCTGCTCCAACTAGTAGAAACAACGGAAAAGTCATGACTGACAAAAAGAAGTCAAATCCAAAATCTCGTCAGATGTCAATCAAGTTTTTTTCTCACAGAGAGGAAACAAAGAAACCAATGTCTCCTATTCTTGAGAAGATAGTGAATTCAAGATTTGTAAGATCCATCACCAAAACATCTAGAGACAGCAAAATTCAACAGACTTCAACTCTGGTGCATTAATTGATCTTTGTACTTAATTTCTCCTGCATAGGTTGCTTTTCTGTTATCAACTTAACTCTTTTCTGCCAAATGCAGGCATCGGTGAGTGGGATATCAAAGTGTCCTTCTGAAGCTCCTCAACGAGCAAATAAAAGGTAAATGTATTGTACTGTTTTAGAACTGAAAGAGCATATTCATGAAGACAAGACAGAGCCTTCAAATGTTCTTCCAGAAGCTGACTTTCTTTATTGATGAAGCTCTCAATGTGAATCAGTTATCTAAACATTTTACTGAATGGAACAAGCTCTTTGCTTGCAGGGATAGAACGAAGCTTGACCACCAATCATTGTGTAGAAGCAGGAAAGAAGAGGGTGAATCGGTATCACAATCAAGGTGAGATCTTATGGCATCTCATATTTTGTTTGGGAATATGTGGTTGTTAATTTTAGTTTGATAAGGACTTTCTGATATCTATGGTGAATCGGTATCACAATCAGGGTGAGATCTTATGGCATCTCATATTTTGTTTGGGAATATGTGGTTGTTAATTTTAGTTTGATAAGGACTTTCTGATATCTATGGAGGAAAGAATGTTAAGTGAGATTTGTGTTGTTTATATGCATGGTCTACAAGCTGTGACTTTAATAAAGGTTCCAGTTCTCAATATACGCCTTTCTGCAATATGCAATGTATTAGTTCTCAAGTGAAGCAAGTAGAGGCAAATAAAAGGTCATGTTTTGTCTTACAAGTTAGTTTAGGACATTTTGACTCAATCTTTTTACCTTTTGGAGCAGAAATCTCAAATCAATAAACAAGCATGGAAATGTAGCATGTTCTTCCCCTACTGTATTTTCTCCGTTCAGCTTAAGGAGTGAAGAAAGAGCAGCAAAGCGAAGAGAGGTACATGAAGAGCAAATCAACATCTATGTTTCTGTTCCTTTTTTCATCTGTTGAATCTGATTATTCACTTGTAATCTGTTGCACTTCAGTTCTTTCAGAAGCTAGAACAAAAACTGAACACAAAGGAGGCAGAAGAAGAGCAGCAACAAGCAAAACCAAAGGTTATTCCCCTCACTTCATTTCTAGAGGCTATATATGTACTCAGATCGATAAGACTACACATTTGTTAACTAATGGGCGGAATTGTTCTCATGTGCTTGAGCATAGAAGAAATTGAATTTCTTTTTTAAGGGAGTTGATTTCTCATTTTACAGGCAAACACCACCAGTAGTTCTAAAGTGCTTATATCAAGAGATAAACCAAATCCAAGAATTCATCATGGACGAGAATCATCTAGTAATCAAATGAAGAAGGTAATTTAGCAACAACATTGTTGGCGGAACTGGTATCATGTTCATGAACAGGGAAGAAGATTAAATTTCACTTGGCTGTATACTAAGGAAGGAGAGTTGTCTCGTCTTGCAGGGAAAAGCCACCAGTAGTTCTAAAGTGCTTATATCAGGAGCTAAACCAGATCCAAGCATTCATCAGGAAAGAGAATCATATAGTTATCAAATGAAGATGGTACTATTCTCTTTTCCCTTGATGAGCTAGTTGTTACCATTAACAACAATCATGTTATGAGCAGGAAAGAAGAATGAATTTTATTTGGCACTCATTGGCAGTATACTTATGTAGGAGAATTGTCTGGTTTTGTAGGAGAAAACCACTAGTAGTTCCAAAGTGCTTACAGCAAGAGCTAAACCAAATACAAGCATTCATCAGGAAAGAGAATTATCAAGTAATCAGATGAAGAAGAGAGCTAAACCAAATACAAGCATTCATCAGGAAAGAGAATTATCAAGTAATCAGATGAAGAAGAGAGCTAAACCAAATACAAGCATTCATCAGGAAAGAGAATTATCAAGTAATCAGATGAAGAAGGTACTCTTCTCTTTTCCATTGACAAGCTAGCTGTTGCCCTTAGTTGCGAGGTTGTTGAATCAATGAGGCTGAATCGCTCTCATGTGCCAAAACAGGGAAGAAGATTTAATTTCTTGTCTGTGTTAGAGTGTCTAATTGAAATGTACATGTCTAGAGTCATACATGTCTAGGTTGATTGTACTGGAATATGGAAAATCATACCAAATTTATACATAGCCTAAGATTCGTATGTAAGGAGCAGCACCTCTTGTACATTATTAATCAAGTCAATGAGAATTCTATTTCCACTGGTATCAGAGCTTCTAAGATCTTGGTAGAGACTTAAATTGCTGTCCATAGGCAGTACCGGCCAACATTATACTGCATGCTGAGCCAATGCAATCTTCTTTTGTTCTTCCTTTTGGTGCCCGAAGATGCTCCTTTATCCGGCAACCGGTGGTCCAATCTCTGGATGACCATTAAGGCACCGCTCCTCTAGGATCATTTAACCACCCTTCTCTTTATGGCGATGATGTTATTTTACTTTTTATGTGACCAACCCGTTCCTCTAAATCTTGAATTCTTGTCATTGTTCTACTATTTCAAGTTACGTCGATAATATTTCTGCATATTTGCAACATGGGTATCTCTTTCTGTGAGTAGTACAAGAAGCACTTTTGTTTGTCGGGTAGTTTTCCAACGCCTTCCGAATGAAAAGAATTCCAAGTCTGTTCTTTTCTTTTTAGTGATTGCAAGATTTCAGTGTCAATTACTTGTGTGTTTTCAAAATAAGCAAGCTCAACTTGATTTTTTCTCTTTGAGTTTGAAGAGAACATGTTAGAATGTCAAGTGAATATATTTCTATATACATACATGTCTAGATTCATTGATCTTGAATAGAGAAAATCGTACAGAATTCTTACATAGCCTCAGATCAAATCAATGAGAAGTTCTTCTATTTTCACAACATTATGCTAAGAAAGGATTACACCTCTTGCATTCCTGCTTTGAAAACATTCCTTTTGAGTCAAGTGTCTCCTAGAACCAGCCTCTCTACCTCAACTTGATTTTTTCTCTTTGAGTTTGAAGAGAACATGTTAGAATGTCAAGTGAATATATTTCTATATACATACACATCTAGATTCATTGTTCTTGAATAGAGAAAATAGCCTCAGATCAAATCAATGAGAAGTTCTTCTATTTTCACAACAATATGCTAAGAAAGGATTACACCTCTTGCATTCCTGCTTTGAAAACATTCCTTTTGAGTCAAGTGTCTACTAGAAACAGCCTCTCTACCTCAATTGGATTTTTTTTCTTTGAGTTTGAAGAGAACATGTTAGAATGTCAAGTGAATATATTTCTATATACATACACGCCTAGATTCATTGTTCTTGAATAGAGAAAATCGTACAGGATCAAATCAATGAGAAGTTCTTCTATTTTCACAACAATATGCTAAGAAAGGATTACACCTCTTGCATTCCTGCTTTGAAAACATTCCTTTTGAGTCAAGTGTCTACTAGAAACAGCCTCTCTACCTCACAAAGGTAGGGGTAAGGTTTGCATACATCCTACCCTTGGATTTTTTTTCTTTGAGTTTGAAGAGAACATGTTAGAATGTCAAGTGAATATATTTCTATATACTTACACGTCTAGATTCATTGTTCTTGAATAGAGAAAATCGTACAGAATTCTTACATAGCCTCAGAGCAAATCAATGAGAAGTTCTTCTATTCTCACAACAATATGCTAAGAAAGGATTACACCTCTTGCATTCCTGCTTTGAAAACATTCCTTTTGAGTCAAGTGTCTACTAGAAACAGCCTCTCTACCTCACAAAGGTAGGGGTAAGGTTTGCATACATCCTACCCTATGTAGACCTCACTTGTATTAATACGCTGGGTATGTTGTTGTTGTTGATGTTGTTGTAATATGCTAAGGAAGGAGAGGTGTCTCATTTTGCAGGAAAAAGCCACTACTAGTTCTAAAGTACTTACAACAAGAGCTAAACCAAATGTGATTCATCAATCAATAGCTGAATCAACAAGCATTCATCGTGAAAGAGAATCATCAAATATTGCGCTTAATTATCAATCAAGAGATGAATTAAATGCAAGCATTCATCGTGAAAGAGAATCATCAAATATTGCGCTGAATCATCAATCAAGAGATGAATTAAATGCAAGCATTCATTGTGAAAGAGAATCATTAAGTAATCAAATGAAGAAGGTACTTTCTGTTTCCATTGATAAAAGTAGATATTACCATATGTAATTGATAGAGATTTGCTTCCTATTAGACATGTCACTTGCTGAAGTTCAATGTGAAGGACACTAGATAAAGTTCTTGTATGCTGCTAAATAAATGGTTCTCACCTTTATCTATTTTTTTGGCTTGCAGATGCCGCGACAACCTTGCTCACCTAAATACAGTGGGAAGCCAGTGCCAGAAGTCCTAGACATCAAACCTCGACAGCCTTGGAGGCTTTCAGGGAAGCCTGAGGGAACAAAAGATGTTAAAAGGGAATACAACCTTCCAAATCATTTCCCAGTGAAAGGTAGATCAGACAATCGCAAGTCATTTATCTGTGAGAGTATGTTGGAAAATGCTTCTCCAAATATCCAAGTTTAAGACAGACTGCTGCTGAGATCCATAAAGAGAGCATTTTCCCAACATTTAACGAAATGCTGCTGCTTTTCAGTTTTGAAGTTTCAGGGGCCACAAATGTGTGCAATATACAGGCTGTTAAGACATTGCTTCAAATGTCTAATACAATAGGGCGTCTAGTTTGTGTTTCTACTCGAGTGGTGAAATTCTGAATGTTTCCGTATATCAATATTTCCTATTGACACAACAACGGAATGTATTATATGAACTTTTGGGTCTTGTCTGAATTTGTAAACTTCAACGATATTCCTATATATGCAACGAGTACAGAATAATATTTCTCCCAAGAGTTTGTGACAGAACCAAACTCCAGCAGTTTCCTTTGAAATCTTGTAAAGCATCATGGTAAGTCATATATGCAAACATTGATTTTCTGGAGAGTTAGTGAAGCAGTTTCCCTTTCAGATCTGAAGTAACAATTTGCAAAAGTCCCTTTTTGGTAATATAACAATTTTCATAGGGATTATTAGTATTGCAGCTTGATAGTTGCAACTCATGGCCACACAAGGGTTGAGCACATTTGCTTGTTAGCCCTTACTAAATCTACTTGCAGAGAATTAAGCATGCTTTGACTAGTAAGTTGTTCAAGAAGCTTACTTATTGAGCTAAAAATTTACCAATGCACTCAAATACATTTTTGTGAAGATGATGATCTTTCACCAAAGTCAAGCTAAGCTACCCCCTACC